AATCAATCAATCAAATCAATCAATCAATCATTGTCTACTTCATTGTCAACCATGAATTCTCCACCAATCAACCATGTATTACTCAGTCAATCAACTAATCGATCGATCAATCAATTCGTTAGTCGGTTAGTCAACCAATCAGCCAGTCAATCAATCAAATCAATCAATCAAATCAATCAATCAATCATTGTCTACTTCATTGGAGAGAGATAGGTGGGAACAAGAGTATACCTTTTGGGATAGGGAAGCATGTAAAAGATGATTTGCTGTCTGCTAGGTTGAAACTGTTCATGAACTCTTCGCCAACAATCGGTAAACAGTCTGTTCGCCCTCATGCGGGGTGGCAGGTCGACACCCGTTCTTGGTGCATGAGAGTGTGTCTAGTGAGTATCAATTTCTGAAATTCAAAGGGGGATCCTGTCTATCGCTTTGCCTGTCAACCATTCCCTTCCGTTTCTTCGCTCATCCCCTTCCGTATATGGATTCAGGAAAATGCTTCCCTTAGATGAAAATATTTTGTTCTGGCCGTTGGACTATCTTCTACGGAGTGCAGTATAACCATTTCGTTCGAGTAATCAGAACTTCTGGTTTTTGGGTTGGTTTTGGATTTTGTTGAAGTGCTTCTGTCGTTGTTGTCAAACATGGACTTCTCCTTTGCAATCCGAGAGCGCGAAGGTGAACGTCGTGATCACAGGGAGGGGCAGGAAGAAAGGATGCAGAACAAGCTCCCCCCCCCACAATCCTCAACCCTCCTTCGCTTGTGACGTTGCCACCTCTGGCAAGAGGTAGACAAGGCTGGTCGGTAATCCGTCGGGCATGCCCTGAGGTCGCCACTGTCTGGCCCTCTCACAGGCTTTGTCTTTGAGTTGTCGTGGTTTGACTGCAGTCATGATGGGGTTTCAATCTGTCGGCTATGGTGTGGCTCATATCTGATGTACTGAGCCTCAGGCCAGTGTGCCATTTCAGTTCCCGAGCCTGTCGATTAACACTGTCATGCGGGTGTTGACGGTCTAGGGATGAGTGCGCTTTTACATAGTGTCGACTGGGATGGCTAGATGTACAGACAGATGGATTCTGCACAAGCAGATCCCAAATGGACAGGAAATGGACAGCAGATGGATTTACCCGATGTATTCTGCTTGGCTGAAGCTAAATCTACTGGACAGCAGATTCCAGAGAGCTTTTTTCCCGTTTCTCTTTTCGAAACTGAAACTTGAGTAGCAACCGGGAGACAGAGAGTACTGCTGTGACGTTGTTGATTTGCCAAGCGACTCTCAGCAGCAGCAGCCGATAACAAGGCAAAGTGTGAAGCGAACTTGCCCGCTCCTCTCTCAGGAAAAGTGTGATGAGCAATCCCTTATCTTCTTGCACAGCCTCCGGTTTCTGTTCAGATGGATGGATGGTCAACAATCTGCAGGTTCTCTCCTAACCTTACTCGCTAGTAGAACCTGCAGCCGGAGGCAAACTTGCCAGTTGCACGTGTGAGGCGGACGTTCCTTTGGCTACCATCTTCCCCGGACCGCAACATACGCTCATACAACTGTGTTGGACAGAAAACTGTATAGCCAAGTGGGCCACGGGCGTAATGTTGCACGTCAATGTCAATGCCTTTCGTGTACTTCTTCTGGCCATAGGATTGTCCGGAATGCTGGTTTTCATGTGAAATATCTCCGGCCCCATCAGAGCGACCCGTATCGTTTTTCGTCAATTAGCCGTGGTCGTCCGTTGAAGCCGTTGGTGAATAGTTATTGAACGGCCTCCTGTTGAGCGGCATCGTCATCCCCTGTCCAGTCTGCAGGGCTGGCTACTTACCATAGGCAATGCCTGGTCCTCAACTCAGTTTCTGCAATCCGGACACTGACTGACCTCTTGTGCCAGTCCATGGTAGTCTGCCCTAGTGCTCAGTACTGAGAACCCTGTGAAGTTATCTTTCCTCTGTTTCCCTCCACTTCCCTCCTCCCTCCCTGAGAACCCTGTGAAGTTTGTATTTCTTCTGTTGGATTCTTCGTCCCTCCATTTCCCTCCTCTTTCGCTTCGTCATTCTCGCTTCCTAAACGCATACGGATGAGCATCATTAAGAGAACAGACAAAATATAATGTGAAGATGCTGAAAAATGAACAGGAGTATACCTCCCCGTTTACTCTGCCTCCTTTTCACAGCGTGCAAGTGGACCACCATGGCACGTGGGGATGTGGGCAGCTCGCACTCAACCACAACGTGGGGAACCTTGTGTTATGAACATGATTGTCTGTTGAAATTTTATCAACACTCACTCACAGGAACTCCCGTACACGCCCATACATGCACATAAGGAAGGGGAGAGGTAGTGGAGTATCACACCGCCCAACAAAAAGAAACGCAGCGGAAGACTCAGAGGAGCGAAGTGACAGAACACAAACTGTGGATTCTCTCCACCCAGATCCCAACAATCATTCGCAGCCAGAAATCAATGGCGAGATGACAACTCAAACACAGTATTGCATGGTAACCGCCCGGACGTCCGGAGTGGGTTCCAGACAGTCCGGTGTCCGGTGTCTGGACAATATGTCTGGATTGAGGCCTCTGGGGCAAAAATCAAAAAAAAAATTGGGGCGGCCCAGGACGTTTATCGGGTCCTGGCCGCCCCTAAAAAAATAATGGGTTGATTTTTCAATGTCGTTTCACCCCACCGGACAGGGCCTAGAGGTCCAGACACAAGACACTGCAGGTTTTTGGGGTGCCGGGTTTCGCACAGGTCCGAGCAATTTCAAAGCGACCGTTTCGACGTGGAGCCAGCTGCTGCTGCCTGTTGGGGGGGGGGGG